CCTTGGTTTATGCTCTATATCAATAAAGTATTTGTGAATTATTGATAGAACCTTCATCATAGATGTACGTTGAACTGCAGTTAGATTTGATTGTTGTCCGTTATTTTTGGACATCTTCCAAATATACTTTAATACAAACTTCTTAATGATTTTACACACAAATTGTGTTTTCAATAAGTCATTCCACTTGAGTGTCAAGGTTGTCCACACGAAATAAGAAAACCTCACAAACTAAAGTCCATTGCCATGTAATCAGACTTCATTGTTTCATACACAAAGATTTACATTGGCTATATTTAAGTTTCACAAAAGGTCAATGTTAACAGTATGTCAATGTATATTGTGAATATTCAAAGGGTGTCGTGTTTGAAATCTCTTTCAATGTGAATGTGAGTTTTGACAGCTGTTTAATGTGATTTGTTTCAGTAAACAGTATGTCGATGTGAATTATGGGTATAAAAAATGAGAGTCCAGCAATGTGAAGGGTAAAAATTGACAGTCAGTGTGAATGTTGCATATTGGCAGTTGATACATATGAAATTTGAGAATTGGCTGTTGGTTCATATACTGGTTGGATATTGGCAGTTAGTACATGTGAAATTTGAGAATTGGCTGTTGGTTCATGTGCTGGTTGGATATTGGCAGTTGGTACATATGAAATTTGAGAATTGGCTGTTGGTACATGTGCTCGTTGGAAATTGGCAGTTGGTACATATGCTAGTTGGATATTGGTAGTTGGTAGATGTGAAATTAGAGAATTGGCTGTTGGTACATGTGCTGGTTGTATATTGGCAGTTGGTACATATGAAATTTGAGAATTGGCTGTTGGTTCATGTGCTGGTTGGATATTGGCAGTTGGTACATGTGAAATTTGAGAATTGGCTGTTGGTTCATGTGCTGGTTGGATATTGGCAGTTGGTACATATGAAATTTGAGAATTGGCTGTTGGTACATGTGCTCGTTGGAAATTGGCAGTTGGTACATATGAAATTTGAGAATTGGCTGTTGGTACCTGTGCTCGTTGGAAATTGGCAGTTGGTACATATGCTAGTTGGATAGTGGTAGTTGGTACATGTGAAATTTGAGAATTGGCTGTTGGTTCATGTGCTGAGTTGGTACATGTGAAATTTGAGAATTGGCTGTTGGTTCATGTGCTGGTTGGATATTGGCAGTTGGTACATGTGAAATTTGAGAATTGGCTGTTGGTTCATGTGCTGGTTGGATATTGGCAGTTGGTACATATGAAATTTGAGAATTGGCTGTTGGTTCATGTGCTGGTTGGATATTGGCAGTTGGTACATGTGAAATTTGAGAATTGGCTGTTGGTTCATGTGCTGGTTGGATATTGGCAGTTGGTACATGTGAAATTTGAGAATTGGCTGTTGGATCATGTGCTGGTTGGATATTGGCAGTTGGTACATATGAAATTTGAGAATTGGTTGTTGGTACTGGTGACAATTTTGGCAGTTGGTACAGGTGGTACATGTAAAGTTTGGTTATTTGAAGTTTGTACACTGTAAGGAAGGTTGAGAATATGTTCGGTCTGAAATTGAAATTATGCTTAATAGTCAAAGAAAGGGACAGTACCAGAAGAACATGCTGTCATTTCAGGTTTCTAGTAAATCAAGAAAAAAATATTTGTGGGTTTCACAGGGTGAACCCATAGAACTAGCTGGTCTTGGAGCATTTACTAAGTATGTCTTCTGTCCAATTTAATTTTTGATTCGACTGGGCCCTGGGTATCATGGGCTGTTAATTTGTACAATCTTGAGTGATGGCCCCTTGTACGAACTCTCTGGCTGGCTTTCTGATTGTGCTTACTCAGAAAAATCATTACTGTTCCATTCACCCTTGCTGGAAATCAATCTCCAATCTCATCAAGAGACCACTTTGTGATTTTTCCCAATTACAAGATTGGACATTTTTTCCCAACTTCTAAGAATGATTTTGATTCTGGATTAAAGATGTTTTTTCTGATTTAATTGATTTAATAAATAGCCTATTTGTTAATGGCTGTGAAAGTTTGTATTTTATATTTCACACAAGATTGAAAAAAAGAAAGAAAAAAAAAACAAAAATAAACGAAGTAGTAGGTATGAGTATATTTTTTCTTAGGAAAATGAAAGTTTCTATGAGTTGAATTTTGATGTTTGCTGGATATGAAAATAGTCCATGATTTACTGGCCATGTTGTAATGCTATGGATCTGTCTTTGCTTTGTAAAACCAGGTGTATTATGTGTACAATTGGCAAAAATCAATGGTGGAGGAATCAGGTTCATGTGCGTCATGTTATTGCATTGTGGTGCAGTATTTATTGTCACACGTTCCTGATGAATGTCAGCAGATATCATTGTTAGTCAAATAACTTGGAAGGTAAATTACAGCCAAAACATTCCATAATAAAATTGAGCAAACAAAATAAAGGAACATTTCTCTCAATAAAACACTGTACAAGAGTTTCATTTTTGTTCACGAGTTGTGTAATCCTACATAAAGAGACACCATATGTCATAATTACCAATACTTACTTTGACCATAAAACAAAAGGAGGTATTTGCATCACTTTGAACAGTTTTGACAATATACATTGTAGTATATGGTCTTAAGCCTAGGGGACAACACATTTACTCTTCTACCATAGTCAGTGTGTGGGTTTACTACAAGATAAGGAAACAAGCCTTCATAGGAACAATTCTGCCCAGACTAATAGCATGGTATTGGAGGGTTTATTGCCGGAAAATATGTTAATAAACCCCAATAACATGTAACTATTACATGATATTGAGACATGGAAAACTGTTTCAGAACTTACCACAGTACAGAAATTTTTGCAATTTGACTTCATCATGATAGTTGCTCTGACCAAAGTTATCCTTAGGGGATGAGGATTTAAAGCTGGGATTGCTCCCCCAGGGTGTGGAAATTTGGGGCCCAAAAAGTTAGATTTTCCTTTATTTTAAAATTGTCCTCTGAAGTTTTATAAATTAACTTAAGATATTTTCAGGGTACTTCTTAAAGCCTTGTTCCTTTGCCTCCCATGGCCTTACCGCCCCCACCCCTGAGGAGGGATCAAATGTTAAAATAGTTTACATATGTAAGAAATTAACATTATTGTCAACTTGAATATGATTGGTTCATGTCCTTTATCTGGTTTATTATGTCAAAATTGACAATATGCTTTCTCTAACAGTAAAATGTGACCACTAGCTGCTCCTGGTGGACTCCGCGATAGACCTGGCCTAAAACAAATTTTGATTTGATTTGATTTTTAGAAAATATCCAGTGTTATAGATGTTATCGTGATAATTTGAGAAATCTTTGTCATTTGATTGAAGAGATATATCATATGACATCCTAAATGTAGTAGTGAAATTAATCAGAAAACCGACCCAATAAGATGGCTTGGTTTGCAAACAATGTGCAGTTATAAGAAACTGAAGGATGGCATGTGTAGTACTCGTGGCTGCATGACATGACCACACTAAGGGATCGGTGATTAGGTGTACTGTGGAGCTTGAGGTTAGAGACGCTCTGCCCATTACAGCGTCTTGAGGCGAACGTAATCGAACGAGAGGTCACTCAATCGTGAGGAATTGCACTGATTCGGGAGGAAAGTCAAGCAGGCAAATATTTTATCAAATATCATGGGATGTGTCTGGTTAGGCTGGCAGAACATGTTCTTTTCCTCGGAGTTCTGTACTTGTACAGTAAAGTTTGTACCAAAGAAAGAAAATGTTTAATGTTTCATGTCAGGTATTCAGATCTTTGACTGTGTATAGTACTGTTTGTATACAAAAAATGTTCCAACAAATCAAGACTATATACTTGTGAAGGTTTATAACATTTAAAATTCTGTTTCCTTGCACGATCTTGGTTTCTGCCATATGTGTGAAATGCTTAGTATTGGAGAACGTGTTACTGATTGTATGGAGTTACACTCCGATCACACGTAACTCTGTCAATCTGTCTTCCTCCACCGATTCCATTTGAAATTTCTCAAGCAGTAAACCAGTAACACTAGCAACTGCTCTTCCACACTATTCTGTAATACATTACGACAGATCATTCCAGAGTTGATGTGCCTTCGACTTTTAAAAGGGAAATAAACGTTCCCCTGAAACCGATCAAATTCCCTTGGCAGCAATAAACTTGTATTGTCTTTTATCAGTGGAGTCAGAATAATGGTCTCTTGTTCACTTAAAACTTATATAAGTGGGCAGAATTAGGCAGGAAGTCATAATGAAATCATATTGTTGAGTCTTGTTATTAACTTTTTTAATATCATGCTTGTAACTCAATCGTTAAGAATGGTTATTAGTGGTAACTTCTGTAACATAAATTACATGCAGACTTTGTTAAAACTTAATTTATATAGAATGGTTGAAATGAGATTTTGATTAAGAAGTAATTAATCTAGGTCTTTTCATGGTACATTGTGTAAAATTTACAATTAAGACCACACAACTATCTCGGTATTAGATAATCCTTTCCAACAGACTTATTAGGGGAAAAGGAAAGGGGCACTGTTCAATTTATACATATTGAAAAGATTTGTGTATAACACAACCAATTAAAAGATAAACATGTGTGTAATATGTTTCAATGACTACACTGTCATCATCACCATGACACAGATGTTTTGTCTTATGTTGGTGGTCACAGTATATGAACTTGAAACTTATCAACTAGAAGAACATGTTTAATATGGTTTCTTATGATTTGATAAGACAACTTCTGGTATATAGGGAAAAGTTCATTTTATTGTATTGAAATATGATTTATGAGGTTCTTACCAAACATCTGATTTATCACATCATGTATGTTATCTATCACATCATCTATCTTATCTTTCACATCATTATCTATCACATCATCTGTCTTATCTATCACATCATCTGTCTTATCTATCACATCATCTGTCTTATCTATCACATCATCTGTCTTATCTATCACATCATCTGATTTATCATCTATCACATCATCTGTCTTATCTATCGCATCATCGGTCTATCACATCATCTATCACATCATCTGTCTTATCTATCACATCATCTGTCTTATCTATCACATCATCTGTCTTATCTATCACATCATCTGTCTTATCTATCACATCATCTGATTTATCTATCACATCATCTGTCTTATCTATCGCATCATCGGTCTTACCTATCACATCATCTGTCTTATCTATCACATCATCTGTCTTATCTATCACATCAATATATATCACATCATCTGTCTTATCTATCACATCATCTGTCTTATCTATCACATCATCTGATTTATCTATCACATCATCTGTCTTATCTATCACATCATCTGATTTATCTATCACATCATCTGTCTTATCTATCACATCATCTGTCTTATCTATCACATCATCTGTCTTATCTATCACATCATCTGTCTTATCTATCACATCATCTGATTTATCTATCACATCATCTGTCTTATCTATCACATCATCTGTCTTATCTATCACATCATCTGTCTTATCTATCACATCAATATCTATCACATCATCTGTCTTATCTATCACATCATCTGATTTATCTATCACATCATCTGTCTTATCTATCACATCATCTGTCTTATCTATCACATCATCTGTCTTATCTATCACATCATCTGATTTATCTATCACATCATCTGTCTTATCTATCACATCATCTGTCTTATCTATCACATCATCTGTCTTATCTATCACATCATCTGATTTATCTATCACATCATCTATCTTATCTATCACATCATCTATCTTATCTATCACATCATCTGTCTTATCTATCACATCATCTATCTTATCTATCACATCATCGGTCTTATCTATCACATCATCTGTCTTATCTATCACATCATCTGTCTTATCTATCACATCATCTGTCTTATCTATCACATCATCTGTCTTATCTATCACATCATCTGTCTTATCTATCACCTTATTATAGTAAGCTGATAAGGGGATGGGCCAGGGACTAGACAGCTAGTTCCTCAATGGAGTCTAGCTCTAGTTCTTGAGTCCTGGATGAGGGCCCCTTACGATCCTATGGCTTCTGCCTCTGTCAGCTTCAGTGCAGTGTTCCTGATTACCATTGCCTATTGGATGCAGCAGGAGTTTAGGCTCATACAATATCTTCTCATCCCTCTTTTCTTTGTTTGTCAAGGAACTTTTCCTCAGTCACCCTAGTTACTGATCTAGCTTTACTGGCCAAGAATCAGGTGCCTGAGCATTCCCCTGAACCTATCAAGATTCCTGCTCTGTCAGATTTTGTAAGGCCTGAGAATAGGCATAGTTAATATGTCTCTGTCAATCTCTGGGGTTTTATCTAAATAAAACTGTCAGGGCATGGTCCTCGTATGAGGCTCTTCTTGCCCATCAAGCAGTGTAAGCAGAATATATCTTCTCAGATCATTTCAAAGTGGATCTGTAAAGTTGTTTGATTTGCCTATGACAACTCTGATGATGAAGATCAAGCTTTTTATAGGGTTATAGCTCATGAGGTTAGGGCCTTGACTGCATCCTGGGCCCTACTCAATGGCTCCTCCTTTCAGGAGGTCATGTCCACTGCCTTTTGGTACGGTCAGACCTCCATCACAGACTTCTACCCTAGGTCCTGGACCACCCTTTCTGGAGGGTCTTTACTCTTAAGGAACCATTGATGGTGGTTCAGACTGTGCCTCCAGAGTCAGCTGGCCAACATCTCGGTGTGTCATATCCTGATTCCTGAGGAGAGAATTCTACTTTTTAATCCGGAGGTTCATGTCTTGTTGGCCTCGTCTTCCAGGATTTCAGAGTCTCCAACGCAGTAAGACAAATTGACAAAACATATAACATATAAAGTTATAATGGTATGTATTACTGAGATGAGATTGTTCTTGTAAAACCAATTTTTATGATGTTATACTTACCTCAATTTTATTGAATCGATCCCACCTGGCCTCCCCTTTACCCCTTTCCTTGTGTGACATGGCTTTGAAATATTAGTTTAGAGGATGTTACGAGAGTTTGTAAATGAATTTTTGGGAAGGTAGCCAGGATTATTTGAAATCCTTGTGACAGTGATATAAAGATGGGCGTAGGCATTGAATATGCATAATAGATATAATAAAATTATGGTAAGTATTACATCATGATAATTCGTTTTACAAGGAAAACCTCAAATCTGATTTGACTCCATGAAGCATGACATATTTATTTACAAAGTTATGAGTCTCCTTTTCAAGGTTGTGACATACAACTTGAGATTGTCTATACCTTGAGTTGTATCTTTTTTGTAAGATGGGATGGTATATATCAGAATATTTATCTTAATAAATAAACTCAATTATTTTCATCAAATTCACTGTAGCATTAACATTGATGTGTTTTGATGTATTAGATAACTGTTATATCTGAGACTGTTGGCAGCTGACATGCTGTTCCAGCAGTGTCTAGACAGTCATTTCTATTGAAGCAGATATTTCATAATTAATTTTAGTTAAGATATCTCAAGGATTTTTTTTGTGCATTCAGTTAGATTAATTATTCATATCATCTTATAAAGTAAGTGTTGTAAACAACTCTCCAAACGTACCAATCATGGTCAATCTGCATCACTCCTCGGACAACATTTACAAAATTAAAGGCACACTTTAGAAATAAATTATCACAGACCTGTCAATACTTTGAAATCAAATTAGGACTTTTCCTGTTTCTCAAAAAATGTTTAAATTACAATTACAAGGCACAAGATAATGTGAATCCCCTCACATCAGGGATAATTGGAAATTCAAACATGTTTTGAAGGATGAGAATATCCACATTCAAAAAGGATACAATCTGTTTATATTTTGATACATTGGAGGAGTTAATAAACAACATCTATAGTTTTCATGCATCCATCATATTACTTTGATTTAGAGCTGGTGATCAATCCTCCCACCATTTGCAAGCAATCTTTTTGCAACTTGGTTGACTTAATCACCTTTGAAATAAATTGTACCTTCCTGAACAGCATTTTCATGCCACTGTATTTGAAAGATCAAGTTACTACGCCCTTTTTTAATTGTTTTTTTTTTTTGGTAATATTTTGAAACTTGTCTGTAGAGATCTCCTCTCTCAATTTTTTAATGATATCTTATATGGCAGTCTGTCACCCTGACATGAAATGTGTGGTTTGCAGGATGGTATATTCATTCAGGTATTCCTGAAGGACCTACTACCTGTTGTGTTTGATTCAGAACTTTTCCTGAAAATTCCTCTCTCAGTTCTTCGCCAATTTCTTACTTGGACAGCTGTATAACAATGATATGAAATTGTATTTTCCTGAACAACATTTTGATTTAGAATAAATTAGTCGATATAATGGTATCAATTAACAGTAAATATTTTATAAATCCAAATGGTTCTCATTGAAGTTTACCAATTATGAAGCATATTTGAATCTATTTTCCATTGTGTAAATGACAAACAAATGTAACTTCATTTGCAAACTATGGCATCACAGAGATTAATTCATTGTAATTTGGAATGTTGTGCTTTATAAGCTATCTGCCATTTAATTGACATAAGCTGAAATAAAATAAAAAGAAAAAAAATTTTCCATTAAGTTAATGTGAAAAGTGGAATATTCATTGGATGTGTTGAAGAAGTAAAATTGCATTTGATTCATTATCTTAGATCCCTGTATCTGATGATATACTCCAATATGCCTTTCTATATGGGGATTGTCTCCCTTGCGTGTGTTTTGAAATAACAATTAAGGGCCACAAATTTTAGATAAATAAATAACAAATACTATTAAAATTAAGAGGTGAGTTGGAGTATTTAACATTGCCTTCACAAGTTACATATAACACAAAAGTGTAATATTATAAATTAGAGAAAAAAAAATTTGGTAAATTTTTGCTAAAACAAATGCAGATGTGCTGATACAACATCATAAGAGGTGGGCAAGTGGATGGTTTCGGGACAGACAGCACTGCAGGTCTCTAGTGATGGCCTTATGTATGGCACTGCATGAAAAGGATTTTTAAAAAATCTTTTCTTAAATTCAGACAATCTACCCCACCAAAACGGAGAATTTTGCTGAAATTTTGCTTACCACAATGCTAGTTTTCCTAATTCCCTAGCAGATTTCAACCAAATTTCATTTGAAACATCACATGTGTAAGGCAATAATTTCTCAAATGATTTTTTAATTGTCAGATGACCATCAAAACCCTTGGGCCTCTTGTAGTCAACTAGCACAGAAGATATGCTCAAAGCATTTTAACATAAATAAACACCAAGGCCAATATCACTTATCAAAAGAAAATATTATAGATGAATGTTTATATACAGTTTCTTAGGCAAACTTATTCTGAAAGGTAAAATTAAGAGAAATGATTTACTGGGTAATAATACTTATTTGGAGACTTTTTTGTATGTTTCTTTCAACAATGAAAGAAAGTATGGATGTCAGTTCAGTAACTTTGGCAGTCAATTTCTCAAGGTTTGCTTATATAAATTACTTATTAGATAGAAAGAGAACAGCATGCTTTAATCATCAGCACAAAGGAAATGGGAAGAAATAGGAACTGAACACCATCATAAAACTGTACAGCAGACAATTGCGGAACATTGTAGCTTTGATATCAGCTGTAATATTAGCAATGAGAAAAGGAGAGACTGGTTTTTTGGGTGGAAATTGTTTTATTATGTTTATTGTCTATCAGAAACTTGGTACCTTTGATGGTCGTAAGGTATGAACATGAACTATTAAAAAGAGGAGTGAGATCAGGAGAAATGATTTCATGTCAGGGTGAAAGAAAGTAATATTAAGTATGAAGGTGATGTTGAAAAACTGTAAAATCAAGGCTCAATTTTCATGGTTTTGTAAAATTCAATTTGTGGATAAATCTGGTCCATAAATTCCACTAGCACTAAAATACACCAATAGTTTTACTTGTTTTCATGGACATATAATTCTGTGGATAAGGAGCTGTCACAAATTGAACAATAAAACCTTCGAAAATTAATTATTTTACAGTTTAGTGAGGGTGAGATAGAGAAGAGGCGCCATTTCTCAGAAATAAACAAGTCTTACACACACAAAGAAAACTAGAAAAAGTAGAGACTAAGATATGTACGGTAACAAAAAGTGGTTAAAATGAAAATATCTAAAATAGAATGGAATATTCAAAAAGTAATAATTGATATTTTACTTGGTTAAAAACATTCCTGAAATACTTATTTTATGGAAAAGATGAGGATCTCAATTAAGATGACAATGATTCAAAGGAAAACATCCCATCTAGCATATTAGTTGTAAATTTATCCTCCAAACAAAAGTGCAGATTCTTCCAGAATCCTGACTAGCTGTTGTTGACTTATTTCCAAAACATTTTTTTTTTTTTTGGTTTGTCTTTCTTTTGAGTAAAATATCATTTCTTTGATAAATATAAAATTTTAGGTGTTGTGTTTGGCAGTAAGCAAAAGAATAAATGGCTATTAGCCGTATCAGTTGGAGATAGCAATGTATATCAGCAATATCATACTATTGATGAAGCAAGTGAGCGGAGAAAGGCAATTGGCGGGGTGATTACAGTTAATAGATTTCAGTCTGACTGCTACAAAAAGCATGCAAGAAATGGAATGATGATGTGTCTTATCTCTTATATTATAGTATGAATGAAAAGGTTTCTAATGAAACGCTACAGAGAATACTTTTCATTATTGATGAAAACAATGGAACACTCATGCCACACACTCAATTATTCTAAGAAAAGATGCCACAAAATCTCAAGGCCACATCATGCAAAAATTTCATAACACAATCAACATTGCCTCTCAATAAAACCTACCTTTTGCTGAAACAAAAGCGAAAAACAGTAAGTGCCAACCAAGAATGTATCACAGCAAATATTATTAATGCACAAAGGCAACTTGCATAATAATCAGATTTATATGCTGAGAAATGCCAAAATATGAACATGGAATATGATATGCCATCCACAAACTAAAGTGCAACGCACTACAGAAAATATGCTTACATGCCAGAATTTGATGACACATACTATGTACACAATCAAACATGTCACACCCTAAACATGCCACAAATTAGATGTAGAAAATGAAGTAAGCCACACATTCAAGCATGTCAGTGAGGTGTTAATGTACAGAGCGACGACTACGATCTGTTTCTCATCCACAAAACTTACCGGAAACTCTACATGTTGGTAAAGTTTTACTGAGAGAACTTGGACTGGTATTAACTGTTCCTGTTAATAACCGTTCTCTGGTAATGACTGTTCCGTTAATAACTGTTCACTGATAATAGCTTTTCACAAGTAAAAACTCTTCCCTGGGAATAACTGTTCACTAGTAATACTCTTCACTAATGATAACTGTTCACTAGTAATACTCTTCACCAATGATAACTGTTCACTAGTAATACTCTTCACTAATGATAACTGTTCACTAGTAATACTCTTCACCAATGATAACTGTTCACTAGTAATACTCTTCACTAATGATAACTGTTCACTAGTAATACTCTTCACTAATGATAACTGTTCACTAGTAATACTCTTCACTAATGATAACTGTTCACTAGTAATACTCTTCACTAATGATAACTGTTCACTAGTAATACTCTTCACTAATGATAACTGTTCACTAGTAATACTCTTCACTAATGATAACTGTTCACTGGTAATACTCTTCACCAATGATAACTGTTCACTAGTAATACTCTTCACCAATGATAACTGTTCACTGGTAATACTCTTCACCAATGATAACTGTTCACTAGTAATACTCTTCACTAATGATAACTGTTCACTAGTAATACTCTTCACTAATGATAACTGTTCACTAGTAATACTCTTCACTAATGATAACTGTTCACTAGTAATACTCTTCACTAATGATAACTGTTCACTAGTAATACTCTTCACTAATGATAACTGTTCACTAGTAATACTCTTCACTAATGATAACTGTTCAC